AACATGATCCGCGGGCCCCATAGGGAGGGGGTTCCCGCTTGAGACTTCCTTGCAAGTCGCTCACAGACGAGGCCCAAGGCGATTGAGTGAGTGACTGACTGACTAACTGGTGATGATGATGATGATCATCATCATCACACTCTCTCACGCGCACACTCATCATCATCATCATCATCATCATCATCATCATCATCATCATCATCATCATCTGTGAGTTCATGAGCGTGTGAGTGAATGAGTGCTGATGAGCGAGTGAGAGAGTGAGTGGGTGAGTGAGTGAGTGAGCTACTGAGTGAGTGAGTGAGCGCACGAAGACGAAAGAGGTGATGGGGGTGAGGTGAGGAGGTTCCTGTGCGGGGTGTCCTGAGAGAACAATAACCCCACTTTGGATGTGGGGGAAAACATATGAGATTCGCGCCGCCGAAGCCATAAACCATAGCAACTTACAGTGTGCTCGCGCCCCCGAAACCATATTTCTTAGTAAGTTACGCAATGCCCGCGCCTCCGAGGCAATAGTCTCGTCAAAGTGAGGGGGCTGAACCGAACGGTCATTCACTGTCCCTGGGCTCGTGGCTAAAGTGGAATTCCGCGATGCGGATTATTGTTGCTGTTGTGTTTGTTGTTTGTTGTTTGTTGTTTCTTGTCGTCGTCACACCCGCGACCCACCCGCGACCCGCCCGCGACCCCACCCGCGAACTACCCGCGACCCACCCGCGACCCACCCGCGACCCACCCGCGACCCACCCCGCGACCCACCCGCGACCCACCCGCGACCCACCCGCGACCCACCCCGCGCCCCGCCCGCGATCCACCCCGAGACCCACCCGCGACCCACCGGCGACCCACCCGCGACCCACCCGCGACCCACCCGCGACCCACCCCGCGACCCACCCGCGACACACCCGCGACCCACCCGCGACCCACCGACACCCACCCGCGACCCCCCCGCGACCCACCCCGCGACCCACCCAACATTTTCGGCGCTTGCGGCGGGCTTATGTTGCATTCGTTCCAAAAACCTGCGACCCACCCGCGACCCAAACCGCGTTCAGTGCACAAATCAAAAATTTTCGGCGTCTGCGGCGGGCTGTTTTCTAATCCCTCCCAGGTGGAGGTGGAGAACCCGCGACCCACCCGCGACCCAAACTACGTTGACCGAGCAAGCCACAAGTTAAGCGCCTGCGGCGGGCTGTTTGTGCATTCGCTCCGGATGGCCCACCAGCGATCCCCCCCGCGATGAGCTTGTCAGAGCACGCAAATCGGCGCCTGCGGCGAGCTTGCTCGCATTGGTTCGGGAAACCGCCCTCGTGCAATTCCCCCGATCCGGCCCACGCTGACTCTACAACAGCACATCGGCGCCTGCGGAAGAGGGGGAGGAGGAAAAGGAGGAAGAGGAGGAGGAGGTGGATGAGGAGGCGGACGACGACGACGACGACGACGACGACGACGATGACGACGACGACGACGACGAGGACGAAGACGCGGACGAGGAAGAGGACGAGGAGGAGGAGGAGGAGGAGGAGGAGGAGCAGGAGGAAGAGGAAGGCGCCATCAACAGGGAAGATGAAGGCCACGAGGTCCGCGGGCTCGACGCCCGCGTCGCCGGCGCCCGCCCCCGCACTCTTATCCGCAATTGCGGGGTGCTACGTAAATTAATAAATCGCTGCGTCCCCGAAGCGACGACCCCTTGTAAATTACACGCGCGCCCCCGAATTTCGCCAACCCTTGTGGGTGGTCTCTAGGCGTGTGAGATTCTTCCCCCCTCCATAAGCCCCCCTCTGGGACCCCAAAGCGGCAATTTGACCCCGCCCCCCCCTCGCTCGGCACGACCCACCGCCGAACGCGCCATGGGGGAACAGAGGGCCCAAAACGAGCCAAGAGGGCACCAAAACGCCTCCCTGACCGTCCAAGAGGGCGACGAGTCGCCGAAATATCCTTTCAAGACGCCCACAATGGCTTCCAGACAGCCTCCGAAGCGACCCAAGAGGCCCCCCAAAGGCGTCCCAAGCGAGCCCCAAAAAGCAGAAATCGTCCCATTCCCTTCGTAAAACGCTCGTTGTTACAATATTGGCCTCTTGCGGTTCTGCAACGTCCGACACGGGCCATGAAACCTTTCATGCCCTCCCAGGACGGCCTCGGCAACTGCCGAGAGATGTCCAAGAGGTCACAAAGACGTTCCCCAAAGCGCCCAAAACGGCCCACGAGGGCCTCCAGACAGCTCCAAGAGGGGGCAGGGAGGGCAACTCTTTGGTCCTTTGGCTCCGAGGTACCCTCATCCTGCTGCAAGAACCTCCCAACATGGTCCCTGGGAGCCCCAAGCGAAGCCCAAAAGGCTCCCAACTGGCTCCCAAGACAACCCCAGAGAGGTCCATACACTACCTCCAAGACGCCCCCGTGACGCCTCAAGACCAGATCGTGACTCCTCCTCCTCCTCCTCCTCCTCCTCCTCCTCCTCCTCCTCGTCTTTGGCTCCCCTTTCGCCCCACCCATCTTCCTCTGCTCATATTCCTCCTCCGCTTTCACCCACTGTGCGTTCCTCTTTTCATCGGCTTCGTCCTCCCTCTCGCTCGCACCACCGCTGCTCCTACTTCTACGGGCCATGGCACGGGCGCCCAAGTGGTATGATTTGCATGCCTTGCATTTCAAGGTGCCCTGCTTCTCGTCACGCGCGGCATGGTTCGCGTCCACGGAGGAAGCCGGCTGCGGCAATTTCCTCTGGCGCTTGCAACTGCACTGAAAGGCCTGCCAACTGCGCGACGTGAACCCTCCAAACACCGAGAAGCACCATCAAAACCTTGAACTCAGTTAAAGGGTCGGCGGATGTGGCGTAAGCCAATAAAGTCACATCACAACCCTCGTTACGTAAGCTGTCTTTGCGCTTTCGAGGCCGCAAACCTTCATAACAGGCCCCCAAGACAGCAAAAGAGGTCTCCGAGACGGCCCAAGAGTGTTCCACGGCGCCCAAGATGGTCCCAAGACGACTCACGAGGCTCCTAGGAGGCTCCCAAGAGTGATCCAAGAGCGCCCCGAAGAGGGGCCTAAGAGTCTGCGATTGTCCTTAGGTGTTCCATGGATTCTGGCACGCTCGCCTTTTCGGGCCTCCGACGCTCCAAGACGGCCCAAGAGGCCCCCCAAGACCGCCCTCAAGACGGCCCAAGAGGCACACAAGATGCGTTCTCCCCTGAGCCGATCCCCCCCCCAACATGGCCCTTGAGGAGGAGGGGGAGGAGGAGGAGGCGGAGGAGGAGGAGAAGGATGAGGAGGAGGAGGAGGAGCAGGAGGAGGAGGAGGAGGAGCCCCGCTGAAGAGCGGGAACCAGGAGCCGCAGCAGCAGCACGACCGACCGACGACCCACGACTGGCCGACGGACAACGGGCGCCGACCCACGGTGTGATGACTGACGGAAGGCGGACGACGACCAAAGGCGGTGGACGACGGAAAATGATGGACGACGACGGACAACGATGACGATGGCGATGACGACGACGAAGACGACGACGGACGACGGACAGCGGACGACGACGGACCCACAGATCATGGAAAACGCTTTTCCCTTCGTCGGCGGTATGGGAGAGGGGGAAGCCAAACGAGGCAGAACAGACAACGCACTTGCCTTCCCAAAATACGACGTCGCGCGCGCTTTTCGCAACTAGAGGCCTCCTAGATGGGGTCCGAGTAGATGGGGTCAGAAGATCGCGCCGCATCGCCGATGCATCGGCGATGCGGCGCGATCCTCCGACCCTATCAAGTCTGACCCCATCGGGGAGGCCTGGAGACATTCCACGTCGCGCGCACTTTTCGCAACGTGGCTCCCCAAAACGCCTGGACCCTTTCCTGGGGACCGGCCTTTCATCCCGAGTCGTTTTCTGAAGGCCCTGGGCGCGGCAATGGAGCAGGCACCGCCCGTGTCCCGGCACTCCTAAGGAGGCCCACCACGATTATTTTCGGAACGAAAAATGCTCTGATAACTGAATCAATATTCTTAGAAGGCATACAGCCGAAGTATTGACACAAGACGGTCTCAGCATGAAATGCGCAATGTTCTAAAAACCTTTCCGTGCAAACTACAAAATGCTCTTGCAACAGTCTTGGGTGGGCCTATGTGATCCTATGTGCGAGCCAGGACGCCTCGCCACTGCTCGAGGCAAGCCCCTCCCCACCGAAGCTGCAAGTTGCAGAACATCTCGTCGGAGGTCTGGGATCCCTGGTTTTCGGGACGTTCAACTCGGGCCTCCGGCGGCCGCTCGGGGCGATTCTGGCACATCTGGAACGCTCTCGGCTAAGCGAAGCTGCTAGAAGGCACCCCGGGGGGGGAATTCCCTGGGAAACCGTGAAGGCCGTGCCAGAGCCTCTCAAACTTCGAACCCTCGGGCGGGGACAGACCGTCCTGGCATTCCTATAGGCCTACCACGAAATGTTCTTAGAACCCAGAAATGTTCGAAAGAACAAAAACACGGTGCTTAGATAATGAAGCCGGTGTGCTAAAACAAGACAGCCCCAACCAGAAATGTTCTAAGAACATGTCGTGCAAACCGCAAGGGCTCTTAGAACATTGCTTGGTGGGCCTATCCCAGACCCCCATCGTCATGATTTTTTCATGACGCGACCTCCAGAAGTCCAGACCTATTCGCTGGGACCGTTTTTTTCCTCCTGAGTCGTTTTCTGACGGTCGCGAGGCCTGTTAAGGGCCCCCAGGGGCCGAAAATTCAGAAAAAACGCCCGCCGTGATCTTTCCATGACTCGAGGGGTTCTGTAGGGGGCCACATGCGAACCCTACCCCTACCCCCCACGATTTTTGAGGGGGAGGGTGGGGTTCACTTCCTTCGAGAGCTCAAGAGCGAAGTGAACCCCGCCCTCCCCCTCAAAAATCGTGGGGGGTAGGGGTAGGGGTAGGGTTCGCATGTGGCCCCCCAGTCTGGGGTGGGCCAACAAGGACGCTTCGCCGCCGCTTGAAACCTCGAGCTCCAGGCCGCGGCAGCCGGCGGCCCCCCCGGAGAGGCCTCGGGGTACAGCCCCGCCCGCCGGCCCGCCCACCGCAGCAGCGCCTGGCTCTGGCCCCACGCCTGGCCGTCCACCTCCAGCACGGGCACCTGTGCGAAATGGCCACTCCAAATCTCCTCCTCCTCCTCCTCCTCCTCCTCCTCCTCCTCCTCCTCCTCCTCCTCCTCCTCCTCCTCCTCTGCTCCCCCTGAAACGACGAACGATCAGCACGTACCCATACCCATAGGGGAGACGGAATGAGCTATGGCTGCGTATTGTCGGATGGGGGTCCCCGCTCGAACGGGAGCCTCCCCAGGGGTCCGACAACCCGCACCGATACCCATAGCCAGTCCTTCTCCCTCCGACCTCCCTATGGGTATGGGTGTGTGTGGGTTGTTCGTTCGTCGTGAAAAACTGGACCCCCCTCCAAATGCGACCTAACATTCCGGACCCCCCATCTTCGACGGGGCATCTGAATAAACTGGACCCTCTGAGTTCCGATCCAACGAAAGCGCCCTAATAAACCGGACCCCCCAGTTACAAACAAGGCGCCTTAGAAAACCGGGGACAATTCATACGGGATTTTGAATAAATCCGTTCCAGAGCGTTCCACAACACTCTCAGAGCGTTCCAGAGCGCTCTGAGAAGGCCGCGGCGCCCGAGACACCCTCCAGAACCGCCAGATCTCAGAGATTCTCGATGTCTCCTCACCCGAATATGTCCTCGTCCTGGCTTCGTCTCATGGGAAGTGAGCCCCCGTCTCTCGGGATTTGGAGCATCGCTGCCGCCGCCTGCCGTCGCCGCCCGCCCCGGGGGCAAGAGGGGACGGCGACGGCTTGGATCACCGCGAGGCTTGCCAAGGGGACAGGGCGGCGGCGTGGCACCCCGCAGGTTGCAGGCAGGAGCGAAGGGGCGGAGGCGCGGGGTGGGTCGCGGGCGAGTCGCGGCTGGGTCGCGGGCTGGGTCGCCGGGTGGGTCGCGGCTGGGTTGCGAGTGGGTCGCGGATGGGGGACGACGACGACGACGACGACGACGACGACGGCGACGACGGCAACGACCACGACGAAAGGACGACGACGACGACGACGACGACCAGGACGAGGACGAGGACGAGGACGAGGACGACGGCGACAACGGCGACAACGGCGACGACGACAGCGACGACAACAAAAAAACAGCAATTTTTAGACTCCTCACTCTTATTTGCTCCCGCGCCATTCAACACGTGTATCCCAAACCCTTGGTATTCGCCCTCTACGTTTTCGATCGTACCCCCTTCTGGGGGTATATCTTCCTTGCTTGTCGCGCGTATTGGTGCAGCCCCTGAAGCAAGGGAGGCCTGGACGCATGGAAAAAGGGAGGCAATAGGACGGAGCACGGGATTCGCAGGAGGGGGCTAGGAACAGAAAACACGTGGCAGAACAAAACGGGCCCATCGGACGGATAGACCCCAACGGGCGCGTCGTGAAGGCGGGCCCACGCGGCCAGGACGAGAAGGCGTGCTATCGAAGCCTGAGTACTACGTGAGTCACAAGGAGAGCTCGAACGACAGCGCGATTGGCAAGTAAATCGTTAGAACAACCACGGCGACAACATGATTCCTGAGCGTCGAAGGCGCGGCGCTTCAATACATTTCGACGAAATCCTACGCGAGAGCGCGATTTTGGAATGATTAGTGAGGAGGTATCGGGCAGGATACGTTCATGTAGTTCGGGGCCCAACAACGCAGTTTGGTGTCACCTAGCCTTCCCCTGTTCAACAGGATGTCAGCACCGAAGGGGGCATTACAATTGAAAAATACAATGGGTACCGGAGAGGGGATCGACTATACTTTTCAAACTGCGAAACCAACAACAAACGAACATAATCCGGGCAACGGAACCCCGATGTACCAATGCGCCCATGACTGGTGTAAAATATCTCGGCCCCCTCGCTCTGATAAGTGGATGCGTACACGCTGGTGACACATGCCCTCAATGTTAGAGGGTGTACTAGTCTGGGCTTAGTGGGCTCCGCCATTCGCGGAATTACGTAACCTCCAAAAACTATTCAGTGCACTTGTAGCCCCGCATCGTGTAGGCCAAACGAAGAGATGACTCTCATCAGCGCTCACTTGCAACCTCCAGCCCGCTTAACACCCCCCGCGGTGATCAAAGAGGGATCCTCACTTTCTCGCGTCTGGAAGCGCACCAGCAAACACACCTCGCGTTTGCCACGCGGTCAACCTCCGGGGGTGCCTTGCGGGGCCCTGTGACCCACAAAACAAGATACTCCGACGGCACGACCACGCATGCTAACCTCCCAAAGTAAAACGGAAGCAATCTTCATCGTCGTCCACGTGAACGCACAGGCTCTCAGTTCCCGTCTCCTCATCGCCCATCTCTTTTGCGCCCTGGCGGGCCCCCCCCTTCCCGATGGCCAGATCGCGAAGCCGCAAGGGGCAACGCAACGGGCCGAGCCTTTGGGGCGACCCCGCGAGCCGCAGAGGCGCGGGAGCAAGCCGGTGGGTCAACCCCGAAGGTCTCGAACATGTCGCGGCCGCTCTCAGGCAGGCGGCAGCGCGAAGCCCAGCTTTGCCGCGAGCTGCTCCGCGTCAGCAGTGGACCTCACATCCTCAGCCCGAAACCTCTCCGCCTCAGCTCTGGGCCCTGGCGTTTTCCGCAGGAGAGCAAGCGGCTCGCGCTCCAGAAACTCTCGCGCGGGCGGCCGCAGGATCAGCGTGTTCTGCACGCGCGCGGCGCGGGAGCATGACGTAAAGGCGCAGCCGCCACTGCTCGCCCGATATGCCCGTGCGACAAGCGCCCACATCCCAGGCGCAGTCCATGGTGGCGGCCTTGCGCAGCGTCTGACCCTGCGACAGCGTGGTATTTCGGCGGGGCGCGTGCGTCAGGGTGAACCCCGAGCGGCGCACGACGCGCGGCCTCGAGCTCTGCCACGTGGGCCCGCGCTCGCTGGGCCTGACCATGACCGAGCTCGACGCCCGCACCTCGGCCTCGCAATCGTCGTCAGCGCCTTCGGCTCCGCGTAGCAAGTAGCTAGCCACTCAGCGCTGCGACGTGCTCCCCACAACCCGTCGGCCATTACTTCTCGCCACCTAGACCTCTGGAAACGTAAACGTCAGAGCTGCGCCCGCAAAGGCGCAAAACTTCCTCGCAAAAAGAGCCATTTGGCTCCCGCTCGAAATTGCCTCGCCACTCACTCGCAAAAAAAAACTCATCTCTGAGGCTTCTTCCACATTCAAGCTTGGAGCGTACAACAAAAACGACTGCTGCAGGATCCCGATGACCCGCTCGGATTGGCGGCATGCGCCGCGCGCCCGACGGGGCGTGGAGGTCCCCGCGAGACATCATCGCGACTCACTCGCGCACGAAGCCCCCGCCCAAGACATTCTCCGTGCCCGAACTGGAAGAAACCAAGAGCGACGACAGCTGCAGGTCCCAATGGCCCGCTCGGATTAGCAGCGTGACCTGCGGGCCCCTTGGGGAGGGGGTTCCCGCCTGAGGCCTCCACGCAATCCACTGCGCAATCCACTCGCGCGCGAGGCCCCCGCTGGAGAGCTCCTCCATGCTCAATCTTGAAACTGCCAAAGATGACGACAGTTACAGGATCCCGATGACCCGCTGGGACTGGCAGCATGAGCTGCGGGCCCCATGGGGAGGGGGGCTCTTGAGACTTCTTCTCAGATCCAGTCACAAACGAGGCTCCCGCTCAAGACTTTTCTCCATCGTCAAAATTGACAGGGCCAAATGCACGACGACTGCACATTTCCGACGAACGGATCGGGTTGATAAAAGCTGCTGCGGGCCCCGTAGGAAGGGGGCTGCCGCCTGATTCTCCCTCGCAATCCACTGGCGCACGAGGCCCCCGCTGGAGAATCCACCCATGCGCAAACTTTTTGTTATAAACAAAAAACACCGATGACCCGCTCGGATTGGCAACGTGGGCTGCAGGCCCCACGGGGGAGGGCCCCCGCCTGAGTTCTTCGCAATTCACTCGCAAACGAGGCGCCCGCCGGCGACATCACCCATCCTGAAGCTCTGAAAGACAACGAGCCGACGACTGTTGCAGTATCCCGACGCCCCGCTCGGATCAATAATATGAGCTGCGGGCCCCGTAGGGAGGGCCTCCACAAAGCCCCAGCTGGAAGACGCAAACAGCGACGACATATACAATCTCGATGACCCGCTCGGATGAGCAGCATGAGCTGCGGGCCCAGTAAGTAGGGGGGCTCCCGCCGGGGACCTCTGTAAGCCCCCCCCTCTGAGGAGCTCACCCATGCCCAAGCTTGGAGAGGGGCAAAATGACAACAAATGCAAAATCCTGATGACCCCCTCGGGTTCATATCACGCGTTGCGGGCCCCGTGCGGGGGGGGGGGGGCTCTCACGCCTGCGACGTCCTCGCATTTCGCTCGCGGACTGAGCTTGCGTCTGAGACCGTCCCCGCACTCTGAGACCGCCCCCGCCCCCGATGGCCCGCTCGGATTGGCAGCATGAGCTGCGGGGCCCATTGGGAGAGGGCACCCGCCCGAGACTTCTTCGCAAGCCACTCGCACACAAGGCCCCCGTTGAGGAGTTCCCCCACGCCGAAGCTCGGGTAGACCAAGCACGACAACAACTACAATATCCCGATGACCCGCTCGCGATGCACTCACAGACAAGCCCCCGCTCGAGACTCTCCCTCTCTTTCCAGACTCAAGCTTGAAGAGGCCAACAACGACGACACACACACACACACACACACACATATATATATATATATATACACGAGTTTCCGTTGGCCCCTTCGGATCGGAAGCGTGAGCTGCACGCCCCATGGGGGGGGGGGGGGGGCGCGTAGGATGCCCGAGACATCCCCGCGATTTGCCGCGCAGCGGTGCTCAAGTGCTGCCTTCTATGTTACGCTGATGATCGCCTGGGATTCGAACGGGAAATGTGGACCGCATAGGGAGGGGGCTCCCGCCTGAGACTCCCTCGCCATTCACCCTGTGTGTGAGTGCGTGCGTGTATGTGGTGTGGTAGTGACGTGGTGATTACGACCGATGGCCACATTTGGAATGATGATCGCAATGATCATGAATGTGCGCGTGTGAGTGCGTGTGTGGTGGTAACGGAGATGAGGCCGATGATCACGGTGCTGGTGATACGGTGGAGGCTTCAGATAAGGATACCTTCGATAAAGAACCCAGGGTCTCGCGAACGATGGGCGGCCGAACGTGGGCCACCCGCCTCGCCTCGAAAGAATCAGGAATGCGCCGAGGTCTGGGCCCCAGGAAGACGTTCCTTATCCAGCGCCGCCGCGAGAGCGATGAAAACGATGGTGGTAATCAGGACATGGTGACACAGAAGTGATGAATGCGCGCGGGTGAATGAATATTGGTGGCGAAGGTGACGGCGATGGTGATGGTGATGAGCATGCTCATGACGGTGGTGGTGGCGGTGATGGTGATGAGTGTCATAGTGTGTGTGTGCGCATAACTGTGAGAATGCGCGTGCGCGTGAGAGAGCGGGGAGGGGGAAATCCTGCGCGGGGGGTGCTGATGATGATGATGACTCAGCTCAAGCAAGCGTCACCGCATTCGCTCGGTTAAATTACTCAAACGTGCTCGAATACAATATATGTTCACTCGGCTTCTGTATGTGTGCGCGCAAACGATGTGGACTGTAGCCGTTGTGCTGCCATGTCTTCCCATAGCTCCCCCTGCCGTGCGAACTGCTGCCAGTTGGGCCCCCAGCGTCGCGAGAATTACTGCTCCAATTTCCACGCGTGGAACCGCCGATGATGACACTGGTGCCCATACAACTGCGTCAAGCGCTGGAGATAACCTGCTCCTCGGTACTGCAACGCTTTACCCACCAACCGTGTCGGGGCACGTGCTGCAATGCGCGCAACATGACCAGCCCAGCGGCATGCTTGCAAAAGGGCTTCCTCGTATCATCTGCGCCAGGAGCCCCTTCTGCCGGTACATCTTGAACTTCTGTGCTGAGATGGCCATGCAATCCTCCACGTCCGCCTGCGGGTCTATGGAGTATGGTAGACGGTAACAGAGCACTCTACGCATCATCTTCTGCTCCACCCCACGTAAGCGTGACAAATGCTTCTTCGACACATGGCAAGTACCGATGTTGTACAAGAGCGCTGGCAATACGAACGCGCGTAACTTGTCGAGCCGCTTCATGACCGGCGCGGACCTGCACAAGAGCAGTCTGTAATGCTTGTGAAATGCGGCCCAAGCCCGGGCGATGCGGTAATCGATCTCCAGCGCGCAGTCTCCCAAACACGCAATCCTATTACCCAGGATCTCCATCGCTGTATCCCGCGACTTGAAGGGCACTGACACTGTAGGTGTTGTCGTCGGAATCGAGAGTATGCTGGGCCAGATGTTTGGGACAACAAGGCCCGTCGCCGGGGGAGTGCGATTGGTGGATGACCGCGAACACGCCGCAACATCCGTGCTTAAACCAGCCCTGTCCAATAGCGTGCGCAACTTCGAGAACATCGCCTACAACTGACTGCGCGACTCTGCCTGCAGCCAGACGTCGTCCGCGAGAAATATCAAAGATAAGCGTTCTCTCTCGGACCTTGCCTACTTGGCAGCACGCAGATTCACACTCGACTCCAATACCGCGAGATCCTCATGAGGGAACTCTACGCCCAAAGCCTGTGCTTCATCATGCCGGACACATGGCAATATGACCTCCGCGTCTAACATCAAATTGAAGTTGTGAGGTGCCCGAGTCTCCTTGGAACATGGACCTCGTTCTGCGGATGACGCCCCCCGGCGCCAGTCCAAGCAACTTCACCACCCTTGCGTTCCGTCGAACCTCCCGGATATAAGCCCCTGTGATGAAGCGTGAGACTCCACGCGTATCAAATGATCTCGTCCACGCCGCGTGATCTACGCAGTCGAAAACTTTAAACACGTCGCCATCCAGCAAAAATGCGTCCGTGCCGAATTCGATCGCCTTCTCGATCACCTGCCGAAACACACATTGGACCTCCGCAGCTTGGTAACCACCCCTGAAAGCAAATTGATGTCCGAAAAACACTGTTCTGCCAGACCTCCAGTGTCAGCCCGGGACCATGCTGCACAACTTCGCCATCACCGCGATGGGCCGCCACTCCTTCATCCTCTTAGGGTTGATTGCCTTCTCGAGCAGACTGATTTCGTGGGACGCGAAACTGTCGTCGTCCACGGCGTTGCGCATGCGGGGGGGCGCGCAGACAACAAGACCCCAATCTGGACGTGGGGAACGACCCAGGATGAAAAACTGCCCCCCCTGGGAGGCCACGTCTGGAACGCGCACACGACGCTGGATATCTGGGAAGGAGGATGGGGCGGAAGAGGACTACGAGGTGGAGGAAAGAGGAATAAACGGGGTCTTCTGGTTGCCGACTTCCTGGGTACCGTTTCCAGGATCCCAGTTCCTGGTCCCGGTACAATCGTTCACAAGAGTGGGGGCGGAGGAGAAGCGAGAGGATGGGGAGCGGAGGGGAAGGAGAAGTCTTGTGCATGCGTCTTGTTCCTGGTGCGTGATAACCTCCTTCGCGACCGTCGCCTGTGACCTCACCGGGAGACCGAGAGCACGGGATGCGTGACTTCCCGAATGCAGCACCACAAACTTCCTCGCACTTGCGCGCGGGGTGATAACACGGGACTGCGCCACCGTGCTGCAGGCACAAAATGCAATGTCTTCAGCTCCCTTAGAGTTCCACGTGATGGGTATTGTAAGGGTTCTGTAAGGGGGCATCTGGGGCACTTTTGGGGAACGTCACGTGGCTTTGCAAAGGCGAAGCATCATGAGAAAACCTTTAGATACTTCATCGTTTCTGGCCCGAGAGGGAGAGAGCCCGAGCTTGCCCCGCGGACCCTCTTGTCTCTTGCGACAAGATGGCCCTGGAGACACTGAATAGGCCTCCGCAAGGCCTTGAAAGGCCCCCCCGAGAAGCCCACAAGAGGCCTCCAAGAGACCCCCAAGAAGCCTCCCACCGGACACAAAGCGGCATGCAAGAGGACTCGGACCTACAACCCCTGGCGCGGTGGCGACCCGCCGACCGCCGCCCAGCAAACACAATCACCCCACTCGGGTGCACCGAGGGCCGAGGGAACCGAGGAGGGGGGCAAGGAGGAGGGGATAGAGGAAAAGAGGGAGAAAGAAGAGAAGGAGGAAGAAAACGAAGAAGAAGAAGAAGAAGCGGAAGAGGAGACAGGGCAGGTGGGGAAAGCAGGAGCAGGGCGCGGTGGAGGCGGGAGCGGCACCACGAAGGGGGACGGGGAAGAGCAAGAGGGCGAGGAGCTGCAGGAGGACGGCGGCGAGGCGGACGAGCGGGAAGAAACGAAGGGCCCCCAGGAGGGCACCTGCCCGAAAGGGAGCTCCCCGCTCGCGCGCAACTCGGCCACCTGGGTGGCGCTCACGCGGACGTCCTCGAAATCCACGCCGCCGATGCAGCCGTGGCCGATCTGGCCACCCAGAGAGGGCTACAGGTCAGATGTCATGTAATCATACAGGTGGGCGTTTCACTCATCTGGGCTCAGGTAAATTTTTCTGCGCGGCAATTCCCACCCTCTCTCCCCCATCTTTTCAGACAACGCTGCGCTGAAAAGGCGTGCAGGCGAGTCCCCACTTCAGTGATATACACTCAGAGCTGATAGTAAGGATGCGTGGTAAGGATGCGAAGTCCTTGGAGACCATGCCGAGGCTCTTCAAACGGGGCTTACCATCGAGAGTAATCAAAAGTGGACAGAAGGTGACCGAAGAGGCAAGGATGCAAGGGTGCCCCTTGGGATGCGGATCATCCGTACTATGAGTGTTGACTGGATTTCTCTTGGGCCTTGCCACGCTCCCTCCCTCCCCCCTCCATGCCATCAAACATGCCCGAGCCTAAAGGCAAAGAAACTCTATGGCTGAGGAAGCGGGTTCTGAGGGAAGTGGGTCCTGGAGGCCTCTCGTCAGTCTGGGGCGCCGACGGGGCCCTTCCCGGATCCCGCGGGACCGCCGAAAAACGGCTCACTGAGAAGAACTGGTCCCGGGGAACGTCCCGGGGACGGGGACCAAATCCCCTCTGGACCAATTCGAGGCAGATTTTCTTTAGACTCCAGCAAGTTTACTTGCGTGGAGGGTGGAAGGGGGCGGGGATCGTGGCGAGGCCCGACAGGGGCCTGGACTTCACGCCCCTCGGGACTCGCCTGCACGCAGTTTCGGCCAAGCGCTGCTCGGAAAGGCGCCGGAGGGAGCAGTGCACGTAAGATTGCCTGAGCCTGCATACCTTGGATAAGACGCACAATAATCGACCTCGCCTTTGAACGCAGTCGCTTCCAAATGGGAACGGGGCAGTGCCAAATGTTCGCGGGGACCGTGGCCGTGACAGCGTTCGCCAGCAAAAGACCTGCATGCGCGCCCATCTTCCCAAGACTCTAGCGCGCCTCCCGCCCCCTCGCACTGCCGAGCCACGAGCTCCCAAACATTGTCCCGAGCAACGCCCAGCATCCTGCCATACGATACCTCGGTACAACACTGGGAACACTTGGTATAAGACCACCGATTTCTGCGATGATGCCGGAGCCTTTCGGCTTGGCCCAACTGCGCAAACTACAAAGGGATACACACGCCAGTTTGGTATGATATTTAACGATCTCACACCATCCCAGCGCGATTCCTACACATTCCAACACGACACAAGTTTCCTGAGCATGGTGCCAAGTTGTCTTGACACGATGCCACAAGTCGTTTCGGACGGTGTCCGGGAATTCCACGGCATGGCAGTGCGATGCGGCGGAGGGGGGGCTGACGAGCGCGCTGCCCAGCTAGGCGCGGCATGACTTGGTTTGACTTGGAAGCGAAGGCGGGGGAGGTAGATCCCCCTCGGATTTAAACGACCTCTGACCTCCAGCAGGGGCCCCACAGGGGGCCCTGTCACGCCACTCTCCTGCAGCCCTCGACTCGCCCCAATGGAGCGGCCGCCCCGCAATACGAAATGCCCGATCCGGACGGCCACCGAGGCCCGCGAATGGAGTGCAACGAATGCCCACCAGATTTCGGGAACCTACTGACCCAGGCCAATCCAGGCTCGGGCCAGTGGGGCTTTGCAGGATCCTGCAAGATCCTGCAAAACCCTGCAGGATCCTGCAGAACCCTGCGCGCAAGCATCCCGGGTCGATGCAACCCTGGCTGCGCATGATCCTGCAAGATCCTGCGCTCTGGCTGACCCCCGTTTGCACTGACCCCCGTCTCAGGGCTCCCGATGATGGGCCGATCTTCCACCTCCACTACCCTGGGTAGGAGAGGGAGGAGGAGGAGGAGGAGGAGGAGGAGGAGGAGGGAGGAGGAGGAGGAGGAGGAGGAGAGGAGGAGGAGGAGGAGGAGGAGGAGGAGGAGGAGGGATGATGACCCCCGTCGCATGAGTCCCAACAATGGCCCTCGCGAGGCGGCCAGTCGGTCACGGCCGAGCTGAACAGGGCCAGGCGAATCGGCTCGCCGTAGCCCTGCGCAAGGGCTGCACGCACCATCAGAGTGGGGCATCGAGTCTCCTCGATCCTCCTCGCCCTGCTCCTCCTGGGTCTTGCTCCTCTTCGTCCTCCTCCTCCCTCCTCCTCCTCCTCCTCCTCCTCCTCCTCCTCGGTCGTGCTCCTCCTCCTCCTCCTCCTCCTCCTCCTCGATGTCGATCCTCCTCGTCATGCTCCTACTCCTCCCCCTTCTCCTCGCTCTCCTCCTCCTCCTCCTCCTCCTCCTCTTCCTTTTCCTCCTCCTCGTCCTCCTTCTCTTCCTCCTCCTCAGCCTCCTCATTGTCCTCCCTGCCCGTTTGAGGCTGCTGGACATGTCAGGGGGGTTGGGGCGAGGGGGGGGCGGCCTTCTGAGAGGCCATGTATCTCTGGATCCGGGCAACTTTACTTGCATGGCTTTTCCCCCCCTTTCCGCCGCTTTCTCGAGCAGCGCTGGGCCGAAAAGGCGTGCAGGCGAGTCCCGACTTACGTGAGAAACCCTGACTTCCCTTTCGTGCCCCGACACGGCCACCAACCCCCCAACGTGCAAGGAGCCTTGCCGAAGTTAGCGGAGATACCTGCCTCTGAGAAGGAGCTTGGCTTCCCGAGGACACCGGACTTTGCACATCGAGCCCTGCGATGCGAGATGGGCGGCTAGCTTCGCGCCCTCGCGAGGCCACCTCGAGGAACGGCGGCTATCCCGCCCAGGCCGCGACGCGCGATTATCTTGGCGGTGCGCGCAAAGGTTAAGAAGCAACTCCTGGGAGGTCTCCGTACAACTGTTTAAACTATTGGGCCCGACTGAGAAACCATTACGCCAGATGGCA